ATTCCTGCTCATTAAAGCTGTAGAGCTAGAGGGTCCTCCATTAGCCTCTTTGCTCTTCTTATCACCAGCATGGCTCTCAGGTTTGCTACCTGATATTTAAGCCATTAAGAAAAAACAAAACCAAACCCACAATAAAGCAAATTTAAACATCACCTTTCTGTTTGAATTTCCCCCGCAGAAGCTCTGGGATATTTTGTGAACAAAAGAATGTTTTGGCTCATTTGTGAATTGGAACAAAAGCCTCTTAAATATTAAAGGCTGCTCATTTAAGCAGCACAGTGGTGGATATAGCGCATTTATCATAGCTGTGAGGGAAAATGCTAGCGAGTCAGTTTTACACACCATGCTAAATCAATATGTATAGTCCCCAAGTAATAATGTTTGGAGGCATTCATATTTTATTTGATTCAATGGGCAGAACTATAACGCCAGGGGAAAATGGGAAGCATTACAAGTGCTTAATTTTATTTTTATTCCAACCACCTAACCCTTTGCCTTTTCCCCTCAAGCTATTTCTATTAAGAAATAAAACCTCCCTCAATATTTGGGAGAGATAATTTCAATCATCGCCCCCCCTGAAACCCCCATCCTGTGTGATCATGCTGCTAAGTGTGCCAGCACAGGACTTCGAGGAGGGTTAGTGACAGGGCTTGTCAGATCATGGTGTGTATTATGTATAAATAGATACATTTGTGGACAATTTTGAGTCATAAATGTCAATCTCAAACCAAAATTAGTGGGTTCTAAGAAGCTGCTGGGATGTTTGTTGCAAATTGTAGCTTGAGTGCCTCAGTGGTCCTATTCTTGTGCATACATGGTTCCCCTGGTTGGACAACATCTCCCATGATGCACCATGCTTGCCCCCCTTGTAGCAGAAGCAGGCAGTGTCTCCTGGAGTGGCACGGCCACTATGCATGATTCTTTGGGGGACATCTCCAAACACAGCTGATTTGCTTTCTAGTCAGAGAACAAGGGGTACCTTTAGGTTACTACTGGCTTTCTGCTGCAGAAATAGGGCCAAGCTGATTGTTGCAGGGTCCAGACACAATTGCCAATGCATTTAGACCAGTGATTCTCAACTGGGGTCCCAGGGCAGATCTTTTGAAGGGTGCCATGAGGTGTCAGGAGATAAGTGAGGAGATAGGAAGCTAAACTAAATGCAGACAGATGTAGGCTCAGGCTTGTCGCTGCCTGGATGATCCTCCCTTATATTGCAAACTGAAAGTACTGACCAGTTAATCATCATCGCACTATCTCAGTGAAGGTGGAAAGTAGCTCAGTCTCCATTTTACAGAAAGGGGAATTAAAGCAGAGATAGCCCACAGGGGCCAGCCTTCACACTTACGGATTTCCAAAATTGGAAGGAGACGGCAAGGCAGTCAGGAGTTGTGTCGAACCTTAGTGCCACTCATTTGACTCTTACAAAACTACCTCTCTCCAGCCAGCATCCTCAGCCCCTACAACACCACTCCATAAATAACTAACCAGCACAAATTCACAGGAAATATTAACCCGCGTGGTGGCTGACTTGCTTTCCTTTCACTTGTGATTCAACCCTCATGCTAGGTGGGATTTTTCAATAGAGCTCAGCACTTTCTTAAGTGTAATCTGAGGGCACTTGTACACATGACAGGAGTTTAGTTCCCCTAAACTGAAAATGGTAGGTCTTTAATTGGTGGGTTTTAATTGTGATGATTAAAAACCCACCATTTCAATTTAGGGGCTTCTGTCACTGTTATGGAATAGTGCCGGTCCATCAGCCGCTCACTCCCCCAGGCGGTGCCCTCCTGCTAGTGGCCCCAGGGAGTGCTGCACAGGGAAGGACCAGGGCCCCCACAGCTCAAAGGCCATTGGCAGCTTGCCTCCTTGCTGTGGGAGAGACAGGCAGGCTCTGTGACAAAAAAAATGGATCAGGTCCCCGGCCACTTTTTTTTGCCCCTCGGTGAAGCCTGCCTGCATGAGCTGCTGCCAGTTTGCAAAGCTCCTGAGCTGCGGAGGGCCCAGGCCTTCCCTCCACAGCAGCAGTGACCCCAGGGCCACCTGGGCAGGATGCTAGCTGCATGGGTGCTGCCCCAGCTCACAGGTAGCACCCGGCCTGATCCAACAATGCACGGGGCACTAGAAGTTCGGGTGTGCTTAGGGAAGCTTGGGCTTGGTGGGCTTCCAGCACCCTGTCCCTGCCACTTTCCTGCTGCCTGGGACTGCCCGGGAATGGGCTGGCTTGCCCCTGGGGTGGTGTGGAAAGGCAGCAGGAGAGCAGCTGGGTATGCTGGAGGCCAGAGAAGGCAGTGAGGATGGTGTATGGGACACTGGAAGCCTGCCAAGCCCGAGCTTCCCTGAGCATGCCTGGGCTTCCATTGCTCCTTGGACCATCCCCGCCATCCTCTCCGGCCACCAGCACACCCAGCCACCCTCCTGCTGCCCTCCTACAGTGCCCCATGGGGAGGCGGAAAGAGGTGTCCTGTGTGACATGTACACGTGACAGATTTTTTGTCCACAAAGGGGCAATTTGCCATGATTTGCCACAATCAAACTAAAATACATCAGAGATGGTCTAAGTTGCCACCAGCGTTCCCTCTAAGCTGCATGCAATGTGCAGCCGCGCTCATGCCACGCTGCCAGGGGTGTGCTTGTGTGGCCGTGCATGCCACCCAGCTTAGAGGGAACGCTGGCTGCCACACTCAAGACATTTTGACATGAAAAAACAACGCGCGTGTGAACATGGTGATGCCATTATGCTAGGCAAATGGTGATTTCTTGTCACTTTTCATCATGTGTACATGGCCACATCATCACGTGTACAAGCACCCTAAGGGGATTTTACCCTGGATTTTGACAGGAGCAGATTTAGATGAATGACTGGCCTCACTGACAATCCTGCCTATTGACTAGAAGTGCCTGGGGTCAGGGAACATTTGTTTTCCCTATCTATAAAGCACTCTAAAGCATTGGCAACTTGATGTTTGGAAAACCAAGTTTTTAAACAGACTTAGCAAGGAATTAAACGGTTTATGGAAAAATGGCACCAGCTTCTCCAACTGGGAGGATATGCTATGTTTGCTTGTTCAAGACACCAATTGGGCACTTCCCTCCATTCAGAAAGAGCAGAATTTCAGATCAACATTCAGGTCAGTGGCTGGGCAAATGACTTTGTGGTTTCCCAATTATGTTTGGTGACTCTGGGAATTGTTCTTGGCTGGCAGTGTTGCCAAGTCATTAACTTTCTATGTAGAAAGGCTTCCCAAAAATACAAATTAAGAATACACTGATTATGTTTATGCTAATATTGCTTTTTACCAGGCAAGGCAACTCATCAGAATAAAATGTTAAAACACGTCTGTGCACATACCGAGATATAACAGCTGATTAACCCGCCTCTTTCATGTACTTTCATTAAGTCATTAAGCAGCTTCATTTGCTCAGAAATATTCATGCCGTATTTTCCTTGTACCATGTCAATGGATTCTGCCATGGCCCCGGTGAAATCGACAAGGGCATCTGCAGCGCTGCCCCCATCCAGGGCTTCGTAAGACCCAGCCAGCCTGGAGGAGAGACAGAGCAGACCGACTCATTGTCCGACTCTTAGAGCGCGTTTCATTCTGCTTGGTTCTGTGTAATGTACTGGTGACAGACCAGAAGAAAAAGAGCCTATATGTATCCTAAGATTTCTGCTCACTGGGTTGCTAGAGAAGAGTTGCAATGTAGAGGCAACATGCGGTGCCTGAAGGAATACCTTAGTGGAGATTTTTGGTGGCAGCAAAGCTATATGTTTTCCAGTAACAGTATCAGTGGTAGGCCTGTGCGAAGCAGCTACCATTCGCTTCAGATTTGGATTCGGCTGATTCAGGGGACAGTGATTCGATCCAGTGATTCGATCCCCGCTGCCCCCTCACTGCACCACGATGCATGGGGTGCGCTGTATGAAATCCCTGACCTCACCCCGTGCTCTCCATGGCTGCCCTGCCCACCTCAGGTCTGGCCCTTTAAGAAAAAATGAACCTGAGAAACCCGCCCACCACTCACCTTTCCTGCCCAGCGGGCCCCTCAAAGCCCCAAGGCCGCTGCAGGAGTGGTGAGTCCAGGGGTTTTTTTCTTTTTTTTTCTTAAAGGGCCAGAGCTGGACTGGGTGGGACAGCTGTGGAGGAGGGCTCGTGCAGAGCCCCTCCTGCAACATGGGGCAGTGGGGGCCAGCGGCAGCACCTGGTGAGTGGAGTTATTTTGTAAAGTACTGGGAGCTAGGGCAGGTGAGGCAGTCATGGCGGGGGCTGGGGGAGCCGGCAGGGGGTGGGGCCTGGCAGGGGTCTCCCCATGGCCCTCCCCCCTGCTCCTCCCCCCCTACTTACCAGCTCTGAGTCCAGCTGCAGCTCCCTGCTATAGCCACCGGGGACTGTCCAAACCGTTGAAGCTCTCCGAATCTTTTCTGAAGATTCGGAGAGCTTTGAATCGATTCAGAATTTTTAATTGATCCCCCAATTTGATTTGGATTTGGAGATTTGGCCACTGAATCAGGCCGAAACTCCTCCTAATTGAATCACCACCTGAAGCTTTGCACAGCCCTATCAGTGGGGAAAACACAAAGAAATATGGGAGGGAAGAGAGAAGCAAGGAGCAGGTGGAGAGAGTGGATTTTATTTGTGGCTCAAAGGACTCTGAGCAAATTCATACTTTGCATAAGCTTTCTCCAGCAAGGCGCTCCAGAATTCATTCTCCACATTGGAATGGCAGTAGATCAGCTCTCCATTCACTGTTGGCAACTGGTCATCTATGACCACATCGGTCCACTCTCCAAAACACCAAAACCGGAAGTGGAATATCCCTGCATATTTCTCTGGCCTCTTTGGATCCCATTCTTGTTCCTTAAAGCTTGGAATCACCTGAGAAATCAAGTGAAGCAGAGTTTACCAAACACAAACCAATGAGATCAATTCAAGGGACAGCTTGCTTGGAAAGCAGCTAGCTACCACAGACAGAACTACTCTGGTAGCCTTGCTAGCCTTTGGAGAGCTAAAGCTGGAATCCGAGTGTAAGGGCACTCAATTCCAGCAGTGGTGAATTTGACTCCAAGTCCCTAGACTTTGTACAAGAGAATGAAGCTTAAAACGGTCTTTACAGAGGCTAAATGCCATTTGGGTGATTGCAGGTGCTCCTTGTTTCTGCTATAGCCTTTGCCAGAAGCACAGTGGGCACATCTACACATGCAATTACAGCACATAAATAAACTGTGGAGCTTATTGTTTTGGAATTAATTGCTCCTACGCGCACCATTTGAACATGCGCCTGGGAGCAATTAACTCCGGAGCAATAATCTCCACAATTTATTCATGGTTAGCATGTGGAGCCGGGTAAGAGAAGCCCTGGCTGGCTGGGGGCCCCAGGGGTTAGCCTGCCAGCCCAGGGCTGCTCCCCCTGGCTTAATGTGCTGTGGAGGGGCTGGCTGGGGCATGAGGGAGCTTCAGTGCACGGCTAGGTGGCAGGCAACCCCTGCACTAAAGCACCCTCGTGCCCCAGCCAGCCTCTCCAACATCTATGTGTGCAGCTGCAGAGTTTTTTTACTCCGCAGCAGGACAATACTGTCCTGTCCTTTAATTCAGTGTTTCCTAACCAGTGTGCCGTGGCACCAAAGTGTGCTGTCAGAAATGAACAGGTGTGCCGCGGAGTTTTGCCATGGCAATGAGCTACAATAGGTATGAGGATGGGAAATGCCTTAACAGGTGTGCCGCAGAAAAATTTTATTAATGTAAGTGTGCCTTGGGCTGGAAACAGTTGGGAAACACTGCTTTAATTTACAAGTACTATCCTGCTGCAGAGTATATTAGTTTACTCCAGCCTCATAGGGGTGCACGTGTAGATGCCGAGACGTTTACTGCACGGTTAGTTAGCCAACTGCACAGTAAACGTCTCATGTCGATGTGCTCAGAAGGGACAGGGAGTCTCAGCCTGGTGGAGAGTAGCTCTCTTGGTCTTTGGAAGACATGCAACAACAAGCCGTGGAAGTATCTAACAGGTGAAATGGGCAGCATATGAAAATGATCAATGAAGACAGGGACACCCCACCTCAAGAAAGAGTGCTTACCAGCTGTAAGTGTTTCCCAAAGGTAAGGGAGAGGTGATAGTGGGGTACTGGTTATGCGATGGTGCCACTGACAGGAAGAAACACGAGCAGAATTTTTACTGAGAACTACCATTCGGCAGCTGGCCCACCCCGCCAAAGGAAACATTGTCAGATTTCCTTAAGGAACAGATATTATCCCAAGGACTGAGCAGAATAGTCACCTACCTTTTGCCACAGATTCTCCCAAAGAGCCAAACAGGAGCAAGCTGCCACAAACCAGCAGTTTCCCAGTGTCCCTTGGAGTAAGTCATGGGAGCTGATGCCGTTCACAAACAGATGGGGATCTTCGCAGAGTTCCTTACAGAACAAACCAGGAGTTACTGGTGCGCCCAGGAGAGAAAATATTTAAACAGCGGTGAGAAATGGAAATGCCTTGAAGAGGGGACTCGCTCCCCCGAGCCTCGCCAAATGGTACAAGCAGGAGGGGGCAGAGGGGCTCCAGCCCCGGTCCTGCAGAACCCCAGCCCCGACACAGCTCCCTCCTTAGCAGAAGAGTTGTTGCAGGCACTAGTAACACAATCATAGTTGTCCCCTTACACAAGCAAACCCTTTTGCTGGTGACACGTCATAAATCCAGTGAAGAGATGGATAAGAAAGTATTCATGGGCATGCCACAGCAGTACTTCCCTGACAGTTTGGGTAGAGATCCCCTGCGTCCAGGAATTTTCTACAGCCATATGGGGCAAGATGGAAGGACATACCAAGATGAAGGTAGTGGAAGGAAAAGAAGGGAGTTCTTCAGGTAAGAGCATAGGCAGAACAACATGTTCAAGGGAGGAGAAGCAGAAAGCTATTTCCACTGACAAAAGGCTATTAAGATCCACTTGCTTCTGTCTTGGTCACCATCATGGCTGTTCCTTAATGTGTGAACAGGGCTCCACCACCACCAAGGGCATGAGCTGCTATAGCTTTTACTCAAGAGCTAAGGCTCATGAGCTGAGGCTGTGACAGATCCTTAACCTCTGCAGAGCAAGTGCTAAAGGAGACACAGAGCACATGCTGATCCAGGGATTACACCCTTCTCACTTATCATGAAACCTCCATTGCTTCCCACCAACACTCCTCTATCCCCACCTCTATCCGGTCATTTCTTCTGGACCCCAATTCATTTCTAGCAATAAGGAGCCAGCACACCCTTCGTCCTGCCACCACCTTCATTTCTCTCCGATTCCTAAATGGCATGACGGCAGCCCTGGCTTTGAGGTACTAAGATAAATACTGGGAGGCTTAGGAACATACACTTTTTGGTAGTTTCTGGTTTTGTTATCGCTATGCTATGTTCATCTTGTCTTTCACAGAAAAACTCTCCCTGCAGTCCCTGCTCGTCATCATGCTGTGATCAATAATTGCTGTCTGTGAACCTGTAGCCATGGACTTCACCAAGCAGCACCTTAGAAGTCAGGCGCTTAGTGACCTGAACTTCACACATGAGTAATTGGTGCCGGCTGCAATGATGCATGCTGATTTCAATCTGAGTGCCACTAAGAATGCTTCAAAGTCTCTCTCTCAGGCAAGGGTTAGTGGCAAATAATTACTGTTACCTAGAGGTCAGGAAGATGTAAGAAGAGAATACAATGAGCAGTTCTGCTGCTGCGTGGTGTTAGAGTAACGACAGACCACAAGGCCGCTGAAGGGAAACTTGGAAGTTTCAGATATCAATGGCTAAAAGGAAATAAAAAACCCTGAAGCTCTAGGAGATTCCAGTTTTATTGCAGCCTTTCCCATCCTATGCCAGCAGGACAATAAGGGGGCTGTATGTCTGATGCTGTAGGTTTTCATGGTCCTTTTTATGCAGGTAAAAGGTGATATCAGTTTACAAAGTTGTCAGGGCTACTTTTCAACTCTCTTGCCATTGGGCTGTGGTAAACACCAATTTAGCAGAACCTATTTTCATAACTTAAATATATGATCTAACAGCCTGTTTTCCTAACTTGGTGGAGCACACTTTAATGTGGCCCATACTACCTTTAACTCACAGAGAAGAAAAAGCTATTGGGTTTTCAAAATAATTTAAAAGCTATTTCTCCAGACCATTTCCTCATTTATTTACATGTCTTCAGAGAGTTGAAAATTCAGTGGAGGTTTGGGGTGCAGGGCACTCACTAGCCATTATAAAGCATTTTATTCTTCTGTCAGTTACTTTTATGAGTGTACTAGAAAAGCTTTCTAGAAACATTGAACAATGTATGTTGTAAGCGTAAGTACATGAAAAATCAGGTATTGCTGCTTTCAAGTATGCCCACAGTTACCTGCCTGACCTACAGATGCATGAACTCACCTGGAACATGCAATAGCTTTAGCTCAGGATGGCAACTTACAGGATGAACCTTCAGTCAATGTAAAGAAGATAGCTTCATATAAAGCAATTATCACTAGCTGACAACGTAGCCTTCGCTTTGCTGTGGTACTAACTATTGCAAAAACAACTTGCATAGGCTTTGCAGTTATGCTTTCCAGTTTGCCTTTCTGTCTGAAATGATGTTTTATTGGTTTAATTAGCATGGGGTAATTTACCCTCTGGAATAAAACTGTCCATGCTTCTTCCTTGCCTCGAGAAGCAAAAACAATATTATTTTTGAACGAATTAAAGCACACCCAGAGTTGACAAGTCCAAAAAATATCTTATCTTCTTTGCGTCTCCTTGCCAAAAACAACCATACAAAGCTATCCTTTTTTTTTTTTTTTAGAGCGAAGTGTGTCTAGTATCTCAGATATGCCTGCATAAACTGTCCCAGAGCAGTATGCGTCAAAATGCTAAACATGTGGCTATGATTAGCGGTCACTGCCCATTATGGCCCAAAGTAAACACTGAACAGAATTTTTTTTTATAAACAATGCCTCCTTTCCACTATAGCTGTATCATTTTGTAAAAGATCCTGCTTAATGCATTCTTCCTTACTAAAATATCTGGCAGACTTGAACTTCCTGAGACCAAGCAATCACAGTGGTAAATGACTTACTTGACCTGTAATTTTATAAATCACAAGCACTTGAATGGCACCTGCTCCCACCATACTTTGGAGTAATATAACTGGTTTATGTAAGACAGCCAAATAATTTCTAAAGTTATATAATATTTAATTCCAAACTTTTACTCAGTTTTGTTATTAATTCAGAATATTACTTTCTAAAGAGGCTTTGGTAATCTGGACTAGATACCTCTAGAAGAGTCAGAAATGATGGTCAGCTCCCATCCTGGGGGCACACTATGCTACACCTGTCTCACCACCAACAGCCAATGATGTTATGTCATGGGCGTTTGATAATGCTGTTACTTGGAGCTGTTAGAAGGCTGGTCCTAATCCCACATGGGTTATTTAGATGTAAAGTTAATGAATTTAGTGGAATTGCATGGTGTAGGACAGATGCAAACGAGATCAGAATGAGGTCCAAATTTTACCAGGACTCCCTCTTATACATAACCTGTCCTTTGAGTTAGACCCAGTATTGCAATTAAGATGTCTTAAAGGGCTATTAGGATCCAACATCCAAACCTCCTACTAACTTTAAGATGCCTAAAAATCCCTCGGCACCTCAGTACCCAGCAGTTAGGTTTCTTAAGTCATTTGGAAGAGAAGGGGGTGTTGACTCTATGGCATACAGGGGTGGGCAATTATTTTGGGTGGAGGGCCACTTACCAAGTTTGTGCCCTAAGTCATTTAAGGCACATTACACTGCCAAATTTCCTACAGCAGCTGGAATTAATGTGCAATACGGCACCAAGGCATGGAAACACTGACACCATTGAAGTGGTGCAAAAACATTTAGCCCGCTTTAAAGTGTCATGTGCACACAGCCCTCATTTTGTCTACACACGGCCCTAGAACCTAAGCATTCAGTTGAGGCGTGAATTCCTCTAGGCAGCATAGCACCGAGGAAACAGGCATGATAGTGCTGAAGCCATCTTTTGGGAATGTAGCTTTTTGATCTATGCTCTCAATGTTAATATTCCACCTTCCCAACGCAAACAGCAAAATAAATCTTTTCACCATGTAAGGACATGCTGTGTTTTACTATGAAATATTAAGAAATGTTAAACTCTATTTTGGACACAGTGCTAATAAAAGCAAATTGTTGTATCATTTGTATATGCAGAAAATATTCCATCTTTGAAAATCCAGCTTCCCCCATAGTTCGTCACTTGTGAATACACATGCAAAAATAAAAACCATTTGCAGATCTATAAGTGTCAACTGTACAGAGGCTGCATGGTGTCCGAAAGGGAGGCAAGAGGTTCCCTGTGCTTCGGATTCCACTGAGAATGGTAAGTTCCCCAGCCTCGCAACAGATACTTATGTGTGCACTGTGGTGTTTCTCATTTTACTATTCTGAATGAAAATACCTGAGATTCAATACCACTCACATAGTGAAGCTGAGAGAAATGCAGTGGCTGGTTAACCTCTTTTGTTCTATTTTAATTGGTTTGTCTCTTTCCCCTGAGGTCAATAAATGAACTGATTAACCAGCAAGTTCACAAAATGCAGAGCAGATCAAAGTGGTACAACACATCAGTGCACTTGGCACAACACATCTGCGTAGTGTAGGATACAACTTTAGCCTGCATATATTGGTTTTTATTCTGTTTGGGATTGACAAATTACAGGGTGGGATTTCACTGGCTAATGGAAGTGGATTGGGGCAGTTATGTCGCTTGGAAAAACATTTTTTTTTCTTTGCTGCAGCAAAACTTTCTTGGGTATTTTCAAAACCTGATGTGGAACTGCTGAGGTCAGAGACTTACCAGTTTCATTTGAATCACCAAGGATTTTTTTTCTCTCTCTAATAGGTTCTTTGTAAGCAACCCAGGGCCAAAATCATGAGACTCCACTGTGACTCTAACTCCAGTCTGAAACGCGTCACACAGAAGTGACTGGAGGGCAGAGGAGATAAGTATTTACCCACCTGCACTCACTTTTGGAACAAAAGACTTTCCAGGAGCAGAGTGTAAATATAAGGATCCCCTTATTTCTGAATATATATATTTCTTCTTAAATATTACCAGAGTCCATAAAGTAATTTTGACCCCTTGCTGTTTAGATGGGGAGCAAAACATACAAAAAACTAAATTCACTCACTCCACCAGCTTACAGAAGCTTCTTTGAACTTGCTTGGTAAAGCATCCCGAGAGGCTAATGCAGTGGTTCTCAACCTACTTAGACTCAAGGCATGCCTTGGAAATTTCCAGCACTTAATTGGCACTTTTATTTCTCTTTTGTCAAAAAACTAGAGCAGTTTTTCTGTTGCAAAGAACTCAGAGACACCCCAACAGGTCAGACTGTTTTGGACGCTACAAATTC